GCGTAGAGTACAGAGAACATGCAAAACTAGCCTGGGCATCTACCTCGTCGTCGGTAATGCGGCAGTGTTGCCAGAAAAAAACTTTCGTTTGGAGCTAAATAATACTAATAGTAGCTAAAATGAAAAAACTATATTTTTTTTTTTAATTGAGCTTTTATTGACTTAAAAGTTGTTTTTACATTTTCCGTAATTATAATAAACACAACGAATTTTATAAATTTAAGTACTGAAAAAACTTTTAAAACCAAAATAAGGTGCGTATATTTCAAATTCTTTGCTACGGCACTTATAACACTTATATGTATGCATATACATACTTATATAAAATAGACAATGAACTAAAAATACTTTACAAACTGTTAAAATCTGCAATTCCAAATATTTGAATTGACCATAAAAACTCGGGTTACGAATCATTATTTTGGCCAAATTTTTCTGACAAGTTTTATTTCATTCTCTCTTTAAGGTAAAACCTAAATCTGCGCGTTCAGAAAAAGGAGTTTCTTCTAATTAATTTTTGGTGGAGTCTATATTTTCGCTTGGATGCAAATGTATGTTTTTCCACTGCATTTCGAAATTTGTAATTTTATCAACGCTTAAGTTTTGGTTTTCCTTTTCTACCGTGGCCGTCTGAGAGAATACACCATCTGAGCTTATCGGAGCCCGAATTACTGCCCAGTATAGTTTATGTGCTCCCGCGCCCCTGGTAGAAACTAATCGACTTACATGCCCATTTTCATTAGCTTAAGCGCCCTTTGCATTAGTAATGGAACTTTTCTAAGTATTAATCGCAATATAGTACTATGAAAATATCGAAAATAGCCTGAGATCACCAAAGCCAAATAAATTTTAGTCACTTGTATAAGTTAATTACAGATTTTTTAATTTTAATATATTACCAAATACAACTTAAAATTTCTGGAGCTAAAAAAGTACTAGATAATTTTTAAAAGAGCTATGAGCTAAAGCTAAATTTTCGGAGCTAAATAGAAAAATAAAGAGCTAAATCTAGCTCCAAAAGCACCAAAACGGCAACACTGAATGCGGTATCTGAAGTGATTGAATAACCGACGACTAGTTAGAGGTCAGGGCTAGTTTTACATGTTCTCTGTATTCAACGTTATCTGCATTTTAGTCAGTGTTGTCTTCGAAAATGCCCCTGATCCACATTAAGTTTGAGAACTAACCCTAGGACTTAATCCGCATTCCTGAGATAATCCTTATTAACGAGTTGATCCGGGTCAAAGCTGTCGTCTGTATATGCTTTCATTAGATGACATTTATTTTCATAGAAATTTTGTGTTTTTGGAAAAATTAATCATAAAGAAAACAATACAAAAAATATTTGATACTGAAACTAGGACGCAATTATTTACTTAATTTGATTCGCCATCATGGATTTAAATTAAGATCCGTCGGTAGGTATTGCAACATTTGTTTAAACTTATTAAATATTGTTTTACTTAATGCTAAGGTCTTTTCAGATTGTGACCAATTAGTGTCCGCATTTATGAAAGGCCTCCAAGTTTTTACGCCCCGTCCAGAGCTTTTACTTGTTGACTCTGATTTCAGATGGGCAAAATCACCTTCACATTTAGCTTTTTTCTGACGTTGTCATTTTTTAAAAGGGCTTTGAAATTTTAAAAATATTACTTAAAAAAGTCATTTAAAAAAATCAGTGCTTTCTAATTGAGTCGAGTTAAAGCTGATTAAATTGTTTGGTGCATAAGGTCGATTAGGTATTGAAAATGGCCTTTTAAACTTTTATCCTTGAATATCTTTGAAATATTGCAATTATTATTTTTGAAAAGATAACTGTAAACCTCCACCGATTTCGCTAAAACTTAACATAAGCTTTAATTTTACTTAGAAATAGGGAATTACGAAATTTGGCAAATATGGAATAATTGCCACGCCCTCTACTCTGTGGGCGGAAATATTAAATTTCATCCGAATTCGATGAAATTTAGTTTGTACTCTCTCTTTTACTAGAAAACCCTAAATATAAAATATGGGGAGGATTACATCACTATGACGTCCAAAACTCACAAAACATGTGGGCCCAGTCATTTAAATGTGATAGAATTTTGATTAGTTTTTGTTTCCTGTAAATATTCTCTTGTCTCTCAAAAAAAAAATTAAGAAAAAAATTATTTATATTTTCAAAGTCGCGCGAAGTGATCCCATTATATGTTCGAAAACTACATAAAATTCTCCAAAACATGCGTAAAATTTTAATGACCTGACGGACCGGTACTCACACTTTTTTTTACTAATAATCTTTAGCAT